CTCATCCCGAGAAATGGCATCAACCCGTAGTTTAGAACAATGTGGTCGTCCACAGTGATTCAAACGATCTCAACAGGTATCCCAAGTTCCTTCGAGGTGGAAAATTATTTCCAACATGGCCGACCTTCTAGATCCGTGTCGTTCATTACACACGTACGGATGAAGCCGCTCGATCTGCCACTCAACGTGCCAAACATAATACGAACAATCACGTGGCCACACGTCGAGGTAATGACATTTCTCACGTGATGCAGCGTTTTGCCAATATCGCGGCGGCGCACTCGGGCGCCGACACGAGACGGTTGGCCGGTCAGAGTTCAGCAGGCGCCGCCAGCTTCATCGGCTGTTTACACAATCAGTCGCGCAGTAGTCAGGCCCTACCGCAGCCATCACGCCACACTCGCCGGGTGACGTCACGCGCCGTGTATGACGTCACACCACACGCGCCGTCCGCTCTCCGCGCACGCACCGGGCGAGTGGCGACCCACATATGGCCGGCATCGGGAACGTCGCTGCCAGCGCACTGCGACCTTCACAAACAGAGCCGGGGGTCGCCAGTTGGACCACGGCCGCCACGAGCGGCGCCAGCTCACGGCGCCGTCGGAGCCTCTCGTCTGGCTGACGCGGCCCGCTGGCCCTCAGGGGCCTCCCGGCAGAGTGCGTGCCGACTCCCGACAGAGTGCGCGCCGCCCCCTCTCTCACCAGAGGTCTACGCACGAACCCACGAGCGAGCGGGCGACCGGGCGGGCAGCTACTGATTTCACAACGCCCAGTCAAGGTCGGGTAAGGCGGGCGCTGAGCGAGGCAAGGCCGGCAGACGCGGCACCGACCCACCGGCCGACACGCAGACGAACAATGGCCGGCCGCCGAGCGGTGTCGCACCGACCGCTGCCCCCCCCCCCCCCAGGGAGGAGAGGGGGGGGGGCGACACGTGCCGAGCTGAGCAACCCGGGCAGCGGTGGCGGAGCAATGACCTTGTCCTGGCAGCTGTTCGGAGGGAAGAGGCGAGAAACCGGAAACCCGAGCCTTCACTTTGTGCCGACTTCGCTGGTGTTCTATTCCACACGCCGGCGGATATTTCTTTACAATGTATCCAAGAAAAACGTCTTATCTATCGTTGTCACTCAACACAGGCAGATCAGTAAGTTAGTTGAAAAGAAAGGGGAATTGACTGACTAGGATCCTGCCTGTTCACACAATAGACCAAGAAGACACAAGGAACAATCACAAGTACACATTGTCCCAGCCCTGTGGAATCGTTAAAAAAACGCTCTGTCATACACACATACAGTACGCACGGTACAAGGAGCTCAAAGAACTTCGACACACATGAGTGGAGAGCAGCTGATAACATCCACGGGAAAAGTGGACACTCATATCCTTCCCAGCATCATGTTCAGTAAACATCAAATCCTCGCTATCAGCACCTGGCCACTGCAGATGCGCCAGCCGGCGGTGGCACCAGGCTGCCGCGGCAGCTGCACTTACCCTGCTGCGCCTTATCCGCCTGGTTCTTGGCGATGTCCTTGTGGCACTTGGAGCAGAGTCCGTCGAAGGACGGGCTGCCGTAGAAGCCGCAGCCGTTGCCGCACAGCTGCGGTGCCGAGTGCATCTGGTTCTGCTCCTGGTCCATGGCTGTGGCTCGCGCCGGCCGGTGGCCTCTCTCTCAGGGTCCGCGCGCCGCCTCTCCGGGCCCGCTCAGACGCGCTGCTGCTGCTGCTGCTGCTGCTGCTGGTGCTGCTGCTGCTGCTGCTGCTGGTGCTGGTTACTGGAGCACAGGCCGCCACTGGCGAGGCCGCTGACGCGGTCGCCGGTGCGCCGCTGCAACATCCAGAACACACACTGTTAGAATGTGGGCATGTAAACACTACACAGCAGTGCGGCTCCATCGGCTGCACCATTTTGATAAGTCCAGCATGGCTGTGACTCTCAAGTCAAAACCCAGCCTGGCATTGACTGTTTGCCATGAGTAAGAGCTTTTAGCTGTCAAGGATGATGATAAAATGAAAGTAGAACTACAAATGTGTAATCAGATATATTGATAATCACTGAGAGGAGACAGATAATAAGCTTCAAAAAGTCTTTTCTACCTGCCCTACCATCACATTTGAGGTCCATTGGATGCTTTAGCAGATGTAGAGGGAGGAAAAATATTTAGTCAGTTTTACCAATGCATAGGCACATTCCTATATTGCAGACATTGGCTAGTTGGAACAACTTGCATAATGCTCCTGATGGTAGTTCCTTGCCTCCCTAATGCTGACACACCTTTAGGTATAACATTCATTGGGTACTGCAGTTTTAGGTCACACTTTTGTATCTCCTAACTTCAGACAAGATCAGAAATTTCTTATGCATGATGATAACTGACAGGAAGGTACCTGTCAGTCCTTTCAAAATGGAAAATCCTATGATTTGCAGTGGAGGAATAGCATCATTATAGCAGTTTTTGGCCAAAGTAAAGAGAAGACACCTTAAGACAGCATCAGCTAACTACCCTGAATAGTGAAATATGATAACAATGCCAGGATCAGGATCAGGATAGGTTTACACCAAAGCAGCAGTACACCACTAGGCAGCATCATTTGAGATGAGCTTCACCATCCAGCTAGTGGATTATAGGAACCAGTTAATTATGTGATTCTCAAACAATGGAGATGCTTACAACAGATGGGTCTGCTATAGAAGCTGTCAACAACACCCTTGAAGAACTGCAGGAATTGAAAAATAAAACATAAAAGGAAAGACACCTCTTTCTTACCCTGAAAAGGAACACAACACATCAATATACAATATTTTTACACAACATATTTATGAATTACACTCAACTACCCACAAAGTCGGGTAAGGTTAGGTTGCATTAGGTAAGGTAAGGTAGGTAAGGTATGGTATGGTATGGTAAGGCAAGGGTGAGTTAGGTTAGGTTATGTTTTAGCATTTCTGCTTTTAATGCACCTGTTTTTAGTGGTAAATGATATGCATGGACAATTTTCCAAATGGTTTGTGACAATATGGTCTGCTATTATCTAATTTTTAGCACGATTTAGCAAAAGGTGATTCACATTTCACACCAATCGGTGGGAAACTCAAATCATCAAGGGAAAATCAAAATGTATTAAGACATGGTTAAATCATCAAAATGTAACAATTACAATAGGCCAAAACAAAGTACACAGCACAACTTAACTGCCACGAGGAAAACAGTGTATATGAGAAACATTAGAACCATTTTAGCTGTAAATTTAGATAGGTTTCGCAAACAATACATTGTTGGGACAAAGAGCTGATATTTGAAGGTCACTCAGGTCTACATGAACACCTCATTGTTCTGTTTTTTTTTTTACTAGTCAGTTCATTCATCTTAAACAGTACCTGCAACAGACCATAGTGCCAGTATTCAAGATCATTTGAAGTTAGTTACAGTCGACAGAAAAATGTGCAATACAGCCAGAAAACAGGACTGAGGAACATGGCCGTCGCTTACCTGGCACTGTGGACGATTATAGACGTAGGACGGAGAAAACAGCCGTCACCGACTTCTGAGAACAAATTGAGGCAGCATGGAATTTCGCATGAGCGTTGCCGATGTCAAGTGAACATTAAAACAATTTATCTATCAGCCTAGCAGCTTTCACCGTTTCGCCAGAGGCAGTACACACACACTTCCTCTCTCGCATACCACAGCTTCACTGATGCAGGCCCATGTCGTCCCCTATCTCTCTGCGTGTCCACTAACACGAATGACGTCACGCATGTGGGCGGAGCTATGGGCGGAGCCTAACGCACGCGGCAGTCCAAGCCGCCATATTTGAATTTATATTTTAATAGAATCTTGCCGATATTTTGGGTGAAGTCAATTTATATGGATAGCTTGGTGACAGTTTAGCTATACGAATAATAATTTATTATGGATGTGCGTATATTCAGCTTGGAATTGCAATTAAAGTTCCGCACCGCATAGATTCGAACTCGGGACCTTTGGAATACTGCGCGGGTACGCTAACCACTACACTACCGCGACCGCGCGGCGGCCGGCGGCAGGGAGGCTGCGGAGACATGGGGGACATTTTACGCTTTTGTGAAAAAAGCAAAAGATTTAGCGAAAAACACGTAATAGATAACTTGCAGAAAATTGTCTGCTCTTTTAGATAAGATACTTAAGTTTGATATATCTTGTGCAGACTTCATTCTACAGTGCTTCGAAAATCGCTCATTTACATGGGGATTGAACGGGGCTTCGAGACTTGACTCCAAATGACGTCACGAGCTGACGTCACGAAAAGGTAGAATCGCCGGACGACCCTACCTGGTATATAGGGCCTTGCACTGATGAGATCCCACAAATGACGAAAGAGATGTAACGCAAGTACCAGTGCTGGCACTCTCTTGAAGTACTTGCGTACTCCTTTGCCTTTCCAGAAGTTTAAATTTCACAAACTTGGCACCAAATTCACAATTTTTTAGATCGAAAGAATTAGAAATTTTGTTTTAAAGCTCGTTATAAGATTTATATACCAGCGGTCAACGAACATCATAGAAATAAATGAAGCTCTTAGTACTTGAGCGAGCGAACAGCTGATAAATGGAAATGAGTAGCCAGGAATATTGTCCATCACTATGCTAACAAGTAAACAAAGGCAGATGTAGCGCAGCACACAATTATATATACGTATTGCATGTGGTTTGATGCCATTTGTGTCAAATTTGGTTGGCGTATGGTCGTCATGATACACCCTGCTTTACAACTAAAAAATTGTGATGTACGCTCCAAAATACTAAATCGAAGTTTGGGTTTGCCAATCCTTTACCTAAATCGTTGATTTCAACCAGCTTCTTGGTCGCTGTCCCTAAAATGTTTTTATGCATAGCTGACATTGATGGTTTGATATTTTGATTTAGTCACTCATCACTATCCCTGAGGGATACGTTCTCCTCTGACACTTGCAAAGCTAATGCTAGGATGTATTGGGAAGTCAAAGCTCACCTTTAAAACTATGGGCTGAAACAACCAATCTATTTTGCTCGCATCAATACCAAGACAAACAAAAGATTGTATTCTTAAACTTAGATGCAAGTTACATCTAACAGAAATTGTCACCTGCGCTCAGCATGTCACATTCTGCAGACAAGTGCTTGTAATTGCACCCACAGCTTTACTACGAGGTACTGAAGATAAGCGCCTTCCCCAACACTTTCACTGGCCAGCTATTGACCCACAGCTCTTGGCTGTTTCTTCGCAAACAACACCTTGCATATGTCCACTTCTTTGCACAAATTAAGCATGTTGTTGGCCAACGGATGTTAGGCCCCAAAGCACTGTCTAGCAAAGTAGAGCCTCAAACGCAGGGCGTCGTTTAGCAGACGTCTAGCCCCGGAGCACGGGGAGATCGTCGCAGACGTCGAGCCCCACATGCACCGTCTAGCAGACCTCCAGCTGCGGACAGGTGACGAGCACGGCGGCGCCGGCCGAGCCCACAGAGACCACCGTCAGATCCAGCACCAGCTCCTCCCCGCAGCCATCACCCCGCAGCACCTCTTCGGCGCGCTGCCGCTGCTCGGCCGACCACCGCTCGCTCCCTGTCAGAGACGAGGCAGCAGTCAGGGTCGGTGCGGTGTTCTGACGGTCAACGATGTCGCACGGCCGGACAGCGGCCTCACGGTGGTAATGGGAAATATGGGGTATCGCGACAGCGCTGCAGCCGCGTCTGCGGATCAACGATCAGCTAAAACAAACAAATGATGAATACGCTTCACAGTGAATTTTTACGCGCTTTACGCATATTAGACACGTAAGTCCCCGCAAAAAGTTCCTTTACATCGATCATATCTCTGATCTCTCCCGTTCACCGGCCCGACTCCGCTCCCTCCATCCCTCCTGTCCACACCACAAACCTCTGAAGGCGAGTAGCAGGGAGGTGGGTGGCAGCCGGGACACCTGATCGGGCAGCTGGTACAGCCGGTCCAGCGCCACGCGCTCCTGGCGTCCCAGGTCGAGCAGACGGACCAGCGCCTGCGGGCCGAACGGGTCCGCCACGGCGCCGCGCGCCCAGCCAGCGGCACCTGACAGAGATGTCAGGAAGTCATGTCAGCTGAGGTCGGCAGTTGCTACATCCGGCTAGATCGACGAGCGACTTCGTCACGAAACGAAATAGCGGACTAACCGATCGGCGCAGCTCAGTTATTACGCAATTGCACTTCACAACTCTTATTTTGGATAGTTTGACATTTGAGCATCAATACAGGGTGCGGACGATAAATTAGGACAGCTTTCAGAACGCAATTTGACCGATAAAATGAAGTGCGAGTGGATATTTGAAGGTGTACACTTCAATAACTGTTCTTTCCTGGCTTTCACACTGAATTTTGAATTGATCGCTGTGTTTTCAAGCATGGAGGAAGAGAAAAGGGCCGCCATTGTCGTTGGGCTCCGCGCCGGGAGGACCGCTGGCGAGATAGCAGAGTTCAACAAGTTGCCCAGGAGCCTGTGCTATCGAATTAAGAAGGAGTTTGATGAAAGGGTGGCGGGTGGAGAGAACCGCGATGAAGTTTCGGTACAAAGGAAGACCCACAAGAGGAGGCGAGATTCCACCAGGACTCCGGAGTTCGTCGAGCAGCTTCAGAACGCGATTGATGAAGATCCTGGCAAATCAATGCGGTGTCTGGCTCGGGAGCTGAACGTGGATGAGAAGACTGTTCGGAAGTGCGTTCATGAAGACATAAGGTACAAGTCCTACGCACTCAAGAGGCATAGCAAGACCTAGCAAGGACGAAGCGTGAAAAATTTGAAGTCATTACATTGATTTTCGCAGAAGTTATGCCGTTTTTTTTTTGTAACACATGCAAGTTTGTCCTAATTTATCGTCCGCACCCTGTAGATGAAAACATGCAACATACGTAACTTTGTAAACATGGCTGTAAGTAATATGCATCGGCGGCTATGCCCCATGACTCAACACTCAACAGTGCCCAGTTAACCGCTCAGGGACCGCCCGTTGACCGGCCCCCGCCGACGCGCCTCCCACGCCACCTACCGGCGTCCTCTACACCTCTCACGGCCACCAGCTGTCCGGCCTGCGGCGGCTGTCGGATAGGCAGCGGCGCCGTCTGTCCGGTCATGGCCTCTCTGAGCTCCTCCTCCAGTCGATCTACGGCCGCTGTGTTCTCATCGGTCAGCGGACCACCCAGGAACCGGCCCGGCCCGAGCACCTGGCCCAGCAGGAACTGCGGAGGGAGGGAGAACGGGGCGTCAGGGATACTGTATCACGGGTGGGCGTCAGTGCACTCAAGGCTCGTGTGGGTATCGATATTCGATTCGCTGATTGTGGAGATTGTGTACCATGAGAGTTGAGACCACGTCAGACACGCGGGGTAAACATTACACATCACGGCTCACGCGCTAGCTCCATGACTTATGTCACCCCGCACAGACCTCTGTATACACCCTGCAACCCTGCAACTAAATAAACCGACTTTCAGTTATACCCGATACGGTTGATTATATATCTACTCTCGATGCATGATGCACCTAGTTTGCACACCCAACAAAACATGATGTTTCACATACGTAGGGTAAGGGCGGGTAAGAGTACGCGGGCGATAAGAGTACGCATCAGCTGTTTCGGTTGCTTAGCAACGCGGGTTTGTCGAGTTCATGAAGTGACATGAAGCCGCCAGTGCGTGCTTGTCACCAACGGAACGTGGGCGTTGAGCGGCGACGCTGTTGAGTTTAAGGCGATGAATATTATTTTCGAGCGTTATGATATTATTATGGTATGGTACAATAATGTTGATACTTGGCAGTTCAGATAAGGTACATTTCCGCGATTGTTGTGGGAAACTTGTGAGGTTATCTGGGGAAATACTGTGCAGTGCAATATTCTGTTTGCGAAGTTTTGCACAACGTTTCGGGGTTGTTTTGTGCGCGAATTGCATGTACGGTAAGAGGACGCACTGTTCAGGAGGGTAAGAGTACGCAGAATTATACATTAAATCGAATATACAGAAATATACAATTATTAATCTATCGCTCAATGACGTTTGTTTTGTAGGTATATCATCAATGGAGCACTGTGATGCAGATGCGTACCCGAAATTCTTCCAAATACGAGTTATTCTCCCTTTTGATTGTGCATGTTTTTAAAGAAACACACGACATGATTTATAGACTTGAAAGATTTATTTTATATTTTTCTTTTTGGATACTAGAATTAACTTAAATGCCCTCTGAGTTTGAAGTTAAGCATTTGGACAGTACAAGCTACATAGGTGTGTGTTCATATGCTTGCGTACTCCACCCGCCTGGCGTGCGTACTCTTACACACCCCATATGGTAAGAGTACGCAACTGCAGCGGTTCAGAAAATGTCAGTTTTAGACTACTTCCATTTACGCTGAAGGATCGTTGCCCCATGGGATGATGGCTAATTCAATGAACTTTAATATTCCCTATTTGCGATTTCTTTCTTTCAAATATTAAATAAATGAGAGCAAGAAATCCACTAAGTGCGTACTCTTATACGACTTCACCCTACACCACATTCACGATACATCGAACGTATACAGACACCCAATATTCATACTGCCCCCCCCCCCCGTCCACGTGTCACCGGGTGCACACTGTCCACCGCCCTCCACCTGTCCACCACCTACCCACATATCCACCTGTCCACCTCCCCTCACCGGGTGTGTGTCTCCGGGCCGCAGGCTGGGGTTGGCCAGGTCGCTGAGCAGCGGCGGCCGGCTGGCGTTGCTCTCAGACCCCAGTCGACACCGCTTCTGAGGACTGGCCACCGTCGGAGGGGAGACCGCTGAGACGGCAGACAGGGCGGCGGGTCGGGCGGCGCGGGCTGTCGACGGAGGGGGGGGGGGGGCAAGTCGGAGTCAGATTTAGTCCAACGCGGTCAACGCACTGGGGGCGTGCTCAATGAAGTCAAAAAAGGACATTTGTACGACAAGCAGCAGGTCATAGCTCGGGTAGATTACCAACACTATCAGAGGGTCACTGCAGGCTGCGGTCATAGGACGCAGCACGCAACCGCGCAAGCAGAAACAAGTGTTTTAACTTGTAGGCACTCCAAAGGTCGTACCGGACACCGTGGCACCTTATCGTAGGGTCCTCAGAAATGAAACATTTTAAGTCCTTTTAGACAAACCCAGCAGCGAGCAGTCGGAAACGCACCGGTGTCCGACACAGCGCCTATCCACCATCACAACATATAACCAGCGCCAGACTAGGCAAATTTCCCCACCTACCGGCGTCCGAGACTCGGCCCAGCATCTTGTCGTTGAAACAGAACGAGTTGGTGTCACTCAGCAGATGAAGCCGCGCCTGCGTCCGCGCATCAGACGATTCTACCTGAAAACGAACAATTACTCGTCTTCAGATTGATCAACCTAAGAAGTAACGGGTCACCGGTGCGTTCAGAGTGGCTCAGTTAAACAAAGCAACAATGATAAGAATCACACTAGCCAGTAGACATGGGCTCACCCATTTGTGTCATCCCGCACGTGATGTGATATTGATCTTTGCCCTATTTTTTTTTATCGCACGTTATACACGATCCACATTCTGTGAATCGCTGACGAAATTATTTCTGTATCTCGTAGTCCCAGGCCGACCCCTACTGACCCGCTCCAGAAGGAACTCCTTTCCAACCAGCTTCTCTCTGAAGAAGCGCAGCTGGTCCTCGGGACAGGCCGACTCCGGGACTCCGAACAGCCCGAACTGGACACCGATCGACGGGGTCTGCCGGTCAGGGGTCATAGGTCAGGTCACAGGCCGACTCCGGGACTCCGAACAGCCCGAACTGGACGCCCACTGAGGGCGTCTGTAGGTCACGGGTCACAGGGGTCAGACGAGAGGTGTGGCCACAGGTCAGAGGCAGCAGTAAAGTAGCCGTTCAGAGGTGGAATGCGGTCCACTGGTCACAGGTCTATACGAGGTCAAGCGGCAAGAGGTCACGGTGAAGTTATGAGACCTCGTTTGATACTTCATTCACGAAATTGCAAGTCTGACACATAGCAAAACCCAACAGCGAAAGTTAACGCCGATATGAACAGGGAATGAAAAGCCACAATACCAAATTCCCCGCCCCCTGCTAAGTCCAGCCTGCTGCCCCCTCTCACCTCACAGAGATGCGGCGGCAGTCGTCTTAGCTGCGCCAGTCCAGCCGTCTCCAGCCGGCCCCAGTCGAGGAGACGCACCACGGCCCGGTCGCCGTGCCTCCCTTGGACCACGGCACGTCGCCAGGCGGGGCCGTCCCCCAGCGGTCCGGGGCAGTTCACCAGAACCGGACAGCCCTCAGGAGGGACGGCGCTCAGCGGCGACTCTGAAGGAGACGGGGAGCGTTAAACATCAGTCGTAGAGGGACGGTGGAAGCAGGCAGGACGATAGACTTGCTGCACGGCGAGAAAAGCCAAGCAAGAGTTGGCTTTGATCACTCAAAATGCCCATCAAACCTTCAGCCAGCTGTCAAAAACAGCATCCAGTCGTAGTATGACAACGTCCTTCCCGACTGCTTGCAGCTGCGGCATAGAATTAGCGAAAGCTACCACCTTAGCGGGTGGTACCGATTTCACCCTAAAGCGGTGCCTACCTGCGTTGGCTGCTGTCTGCAGCTGCTCCACGATCGCCTGGTAGGCCCGGTACAGCGCCAGGTCCCGCACCTGTGCCGAGACCAACTGCGGGTGTACCATCGCACACGGCACCACCACGTGCTTACGGTCCACTTCCAGCTGCAGAGAATGACAAGGGTCAGTTCCAGACACCAGCTGCGGGTGTACCATCGCGCACGGCACCACCACGTGCTTACGGTCCACTTCCAGCTGCAGAAAGGGACAAGGGTCAGTTCCAGACACCAACTGAGGGTGTACTGGCGCACGGCACCACCACGTGCTTACGGTCCACCTCCAGCTGAGGAGAGGGGAAGGAAATTAGGTGAGTTCCCACACAAAGGGGCTGCATGGTAGGGAAGGACCAATCCATCGCACACGGCTCCTTCAGCTACAGAGGGCAGCAAGCGTCAGCTCTGGATGAAGGTTATCTGGTGAGCCACCATTTAGCTACACCGTGCCTCCCCGAGCCGGCCCTGCCCCAATCCCCACGTACCTCGACCTGTGGCGGCACGGTCCACTCCTGCGTCTGCGTCTGTGTCTCCGGGCCGCCGGCCGTCCGCACGCTGTCGGCCATCACACTCAGCACGCTCTTCCCGTCCGCATTGAACAGAGCCACTCGAACAGAGGGCTCCGCGCCGGTCACACTGGCCGTCAGCGGCTGGCCGTTCAGCGCCGCCAAACCCTCCCACTGTGCGTCACTCCAGTCACCGCCGGGGCCGGCCGGCCGCCACGGCAGCACGGCCAGCACGGCCTGGGGCGGCACGTCCTGCAGGCTGGCCGGCAGCTGCGTCACGCCCGTCGGCGGCACGCGCTCCGAGTTACCCCAGTCGATGAAGTGGATGACGTAGTGGGAGTCCTCGACGGTCCGCACGTCTCCTCGGTACCTGGATCGAGAGAGAGGTGGTGTCACGGGCGGGGTGGCAGCTAAAGCAACATGACATAAATGGTCATGGCCATACCTATACTTATGGATAAACCGAGATATGAAGAAGACGACCAAACGATGTAAAGGTTAAAAAAAAATAGGCAGACAACAGCTCTGATGTACTTCTTTTTTAAATATTTTTGGTGCCCGACCCGGGCATTTTGTCGTTAGTAGCACATATTCATACTGGGTTAATACGCTATATACACGGCAGTGGTACGAATCGTTTTCGGCACCCGCTACGCGGGACAGCCTTGACCGCACGCTTCCTGTCACGCACCCCAGGTGGCACCGCACTGGTGCGCACGCTGGGGCTATCCCGATTTCTCGGGCCCGGCAGGTCAGAGGGCTGCTCCGGGACATGAAGCGAGGCCGTGCCCTCGGGACATGTCACCGGACCGAAGGATCTGTTTAAACGCGGATCAGGCCCGTGTACCTGCGGCCGGGGGCGCTGGCTGGCACAGCGGTAATCCCCACGACCGAGCGAACACTCCCCAGTTACTGCCATCTCCTGGGTAGGAGCCGGCCGAGGAAAACGCTGCCAGAGGTCAGCTTTGATCTAAGGACCTCCCACACCAATCGTGGACGCACTTGCCAACTGCGCCACAGGGGTGGTAACTCTGATGTACTGACTAAAACTTCAGTGGGACATATGATATACGCCAGCATGCCACATAGTCTTATCCACATGTAACTGAACACTGAGCAACCCTAGTCCGTGACTTGTCACGCATCCCCCCCCCCCCCCACCCCACCCGCGGCACGCTAGTTGTCTCACCAGCGGCCTTCGAAGAGCGCGGCGCACAGCTGTCCCGTTTCCAGCCCGCGGAAGCCGGCGGGCGTGGCTGGCGACACGACCGACTTGTTCAACTCCTCCTCCATCCTCTGTACCAGCTCGTACTGGTCCGTGAGCCGCAGGTAGACCGCGCTCGGGTCCGCGGCGTAGCTCACCATTACCTGTGGGGGATATACATTGGTGAGGTGAGTGGAATAGAACACCATATGAGTATGCGTACCTATAACACACGACACACGCCTTCATCTGAGAGAAGGGAGTAGACAGTGATGAGTTCATCGGAGCCCACCTGAACCAATCGGAACACATATATAGGCGGAGCCTAAACCACAGCGCACCACCCCACTAAGCGAAGGCAAATTACAAGAGGTAAGCTGCTTACCTCTTGTAATTCGCCTTCGCTTACCGTAAGCACCGACAAAATAAGAGTGTAGAGTAAAGTCAAATCGACCTTCATCCCATTCACTCCAACCCATCATAATCAGCGCCTGCTTTGAGCTCAGCATGACGTCCGCTCGCCGCGGCTCACCTGGTAGTGCTGTCCAGGCCGCAGGCTGACAGGACCCAGCTGTGGCTCCCGCTGCTGCTGCTGCTGCTGTCGTTGTTTCTGTCGCTTCAGTAGCAGTAGCTGCTGCTGCCTGAGACGCCGCCGCCTCTCCTCAGCCCCCGGCTCCTGTCCCTGCTGCTGCTGCTGCTGCTGTGCCTGAGGTATCTGCTGCTGCTGCTGCTGCTGCTGCTGCTGCTGCTGCTGCTGCTGCTGCTGCTGCGGGGACTGCTGCTGCTGCTGCTGCGGGGACTGCTGATGCAGTGGTGACGGATGCGACTGCTGCTGCTGCTGCTGCGGGGACTGCTGATGCAGCGGTGACGGATGCGACTGCTGCTGCTGCTGCTGCAGTGGCGATCGCTGCTGCTGCTGCTGCTGCTGCTGCTGCTGGTGGTATAACTGCCGTCCCCGCTGCTGTGGTGATCCCTGCTGCACTTGCTGTCGGGGCGGAGGGTTGGCCACCAGTGTCCTCTCGTCTCCCGAGCCGCGGCCGGCGGCCCTGGCCTGTCCGGTGGTAGCGCGCGGACGGCGCAGGGGCGCCGGCGCTCTGTCTGAGGCGGGCTGGTCGCCGCGCGCCAGACGAACCGAGCGGACCTGCTCCTCTTCACTGCTGCTGTCCACTGACACCACCAGGTCAGGGCTGGGGGAGGGGAGGGAAGGGGTCAGGGGTGAGGGGACAGGGTGACAGGTCATAACCATAGACCTACACTAGTCACCAGGTCAGGCCGGCTGGGCAGGTAAAAAAGAGTGGCGAAGACGACACAAGAGAGTGAAGGGTTGCGTGCCCACACTCCCCAGTACTCAACCCAGTCAACGTTTAAGCTTTCAAGCATGCACTCACAGCCACAAGCTTACTCGTATACAATGCAGCATAGCAAATATGTTTTATAGTTGCGCATTAAAGGGACACTCCCACCTTAACATTAGTTTTGAGTTGAGATAGCCAAATTGGTGGCCATGGCCTGCAAATACCGGTTTGGGCACTCACAACATCGACAAATGCTTTAATTCGAAAATATGGAATTTCAAACTTGCAGTTTTCGGATTCTAAGGGGCTAGTGCATTGGTATGCCCCCTTAGAATTTGTGACGTCAGCGGAGATCTAACGATTTTTAAATCTTTTACTAAAACGTTTGGTAGCACGCGGTGGTATATGCTGCTTTGCGCGCAACAAATGCCGCACTTTCAAATAAAGTCGCTAGGAACAGCGGAGATCCCAAAAAGTAAACAAAAGTAAAAGTCTAATATCTTGAAAACCGGTGAATATTTTTCGATGAAATTTGGTAGATATTCGTTTTCGCTCTTTCTGAACCGAGCGACATCACTTTCGTGCCAATTCATTAACTTTTTTGAAGGTGGGAGGGTCCCTTTAACAAAGTAATTGTGTCATGTTCAGAGGAAAAATGGAAAATAAGGACCTCGGAGAGCGGTTCGTATCATACCGGCAGCGTGGCTTGTGTGCCTCCCAGTCCATCCGCTGGCAGGCCGCCGAGCAGTAGGGCTGCCGGCAGTGGGAGCAGTAGCCGGCCGTGACGGCGCCACACACCGAGCAGAGCGCCAGACCCTGCTGGGCCAGGTGGCTGGTGGTCGGCGCCGCGCCGGGGCCCGTCTGTGAGACAGAGACAGGGGGAGGGTCATTCAGCAGCGCCAGACCTGCTCGGCTGGGTGGCTGGCGGTCGGCGCCGCACCGGGGCCGGTCTATCAGAGAGAGACAGGGGGATGGGGTCAGACGGCACCACCAGACCCTGCTCGGCTAGATGGCTGGCGGTGGGCGCCGCGCCGGGGCCGGTCTGCGAGACAGGGAGACAGGGGGGGGGGGGGTCATTCAGCAGCGCCAGACCCTTCTACGCTGGCGGTCGGCGCGCATCGTCCCCACCGGCGCCGTTCTAACAGATAGATACAGACAGAGTCAGACAGCTGACTACAGCTCCAGATGGAAAACACGACTTTCCCGCTGGCACCGTTCTGTCACATATAAACACAGAGGGAGTCGACCATCGCACCCCGTCCCTACGGCGCCCTTTCGTCGTGCACTGACGAGTGACGAGGTCATATACATAGACAAAGTCACAGTTCAGACTGCAGCCCCTCACCGGAGCAGCGCCGCTACAATAATACACAGAGACTGGATCGGACAGACCGCCGTGGCTGCAGGCAGAAGGTCAGTTCGGGCAAGGGGGAAAAAGGAAGACAAATTATGAGAAATGAAAAGCAATACAAGCTCTACTCGAAATGGTTAAACAATAATGGACAGTCGCGGGGCAGTGGAATCAGAAAATGATTGTGTATAATTCTACGCCATTTACGAAACCGATATTGAAAAGATTATTTTCAAGGTAGTGAAGAGGGAGGCCTGGGACCGCGGCTGCAAGACAAGAAGCGATAAATATTATAAAAAAAACGAGCACTTGCATTTCACCAAGGGGCATTAAAAATTTCCGTCGTCCATAATTTACGCAGTAACATGGAAAGGATCAGCGCTTCAAAAGGAGCGCCGGGACAAGCGCTCAGCGCAACGACCGGGTTCCACCTCCTCTGCCATCAGCCAAAGCGGCGCCGGTCTCACTAATCTCTCACCGTGGGAGGGGTGTGCTGCTGCTCGGTGCGCTCCGGCGCCTGTCCCTGCTGCTCCGAGCCGACCTCCAGGGTGTCGCAAAACTCCTGACTGTGGGATACGGGCGACTCACTGCTGAGGGTGACACGTGACATATCTACGTGACAAATTGCAGATTGTGTGACACAGGCGACTCACTACCTACTGACGGGTATCACGTGACATGGATGACACACTACTGAGCATGACACACTGCTGACACAAGCAGACACACCGCCGATCGTGGGGCACAGACAACTCATCACAGACAATATCCCAGAGTGCAAAGGCTGACAGTAACATATTTCACAGTCGATACACTGCTAGCATTGACAGAGAAGACACGAGCGGCCCTTGGCCTTGACCCGTGATGACACGGACAATGAGCGAGGGTGTCGAGCCCGGTGCTTCTATTGACTGTCTATATACTGAAAATGACACATGACAAAGGGGACCCTTGTCCTTCGATACTTATAACATTATCAAGAACATATTATCATTCCACCAAAGCTAGGCTTTTCAGCTATTTAGTTAGGGAGTTCAGAAAAAAACGGCGAATACCAAATGGTCAGTTCAGCAAAGAGACGTCCACCGAGAGACTAAACAAATGATGACGACTGATACGGAGAGAGGACTTACGTGAGCTGCAGCATCTTCTGGCGCACCTTTTCCATTTCGCGCAGACATGCCTCCGTCTGTGGCTGAGTCTGTGGACGAAGAGTCGGTGGATATCAACAGGCAACAGTTGATTCGGAGGTAAAAGCGGCTACGAATGATATACACTAGTTATCGTTATTGTCTCCAATCTCTACCAGGGGGTGGGGCGGGATGTGGTAACCACGCTAACTGGGTGATCACGCTAGGTACTGGGACTGGGATCGTACTCTTGCTCCTTAGGTATCTCATTAAACTTACGCGCATGCACCGCATGTCTCAGTATAATGGCCGAAAAAGTATGACGGACTCGGGAACGTTTTTTTTCTTTCTTTTTTACTGAACCTCGCTGTGCATCACTGTCAGCTAGTACCTGTAATGTATGACTACCTGTGTGAAAAGTTTTTTCCTTATGCATCTGGTAATTGTTAGCAATGTTTTTTTATAACATTCCCGGACAATAACAGGAGGTCCAATACCGCCCACACCGTGCCACGACAGTCCATCGGCGAGCGACTCGCTCTGCACCGCGCACATACCTCCAGCTCGAAGCGGCGCGCCTCGTCCCGACGCTGTCGCTGTTTCTGTCTCTCGGCCGGCGGCAGACCCATCTTCACCGTCCAGTGGAGCGGCGCGCGGCCGTTTAGACCTGCGATCGCTCGGGCACACTCGCTGAAAACGGGGCGAGAACAGGGGGGCGGATAATTTATACCTCGCTGGAGGCAGGGAGAGCATTCAACGGAGCGGACAACTCAGTCACACCGACGGGGAACGGTACACCGCGGTCACGTCAGATATTTGCGATGATTTTCAAATTCACAGGATGAGGTGCGCATATTTGTCAAATAAAGGTATGCAGAGGGTTGTACCCTTGTTGTTCTCACTTCTCAGATTATCTTGATGTAAGCAATCGACTGACACTGGCGAACAAGGTCGGCGATGGATTCCGAGGATCACACTGCAATGTTTAATGCTTTCAACCAGTGAACCTCTCTGTGAGTGAACCTCAGTCCTCATTCAGTATGATAGCTGTACAAGTTAGAAATCCGATCTCCTCCCCAGCGGAGCTCCGGCAGCGGACTTACCCGGCGGATCGCATCCTGACAAACCCCACCGGGTGTCCGCGACTATTGGTGGTCACGTTGGAGCTCTCGACATATCCGAATCGCAGGAACTGGCTCCTCAGCCCTTGCTGCAGAGGGGAGGAGGCGCAAGATAAGTGCATAAGGTCAGTACTTGAATTGCTATAGATTGCACTAATCGTAGACCTCTGTATACCGAGGTATGTATACCGAGGTCTATGTCCTCATAAAATCATAAGTTGTAAAATATAGCACACTATGTAGGTACCTTGTTCTGAAAAAACACCACATGACAGTGGGCATTCTGGCAAAAGTAAAAATTGATACGAACGTTAGTTACATTTGTCGCGTTTATCTTCAGAAAACAGCAAGGCTTAGTAAAGATAAAAGAATAAAAAGCCAAAAAATATGAATGGATAAGACTGTGGTAATACAACAAAGTATGGCGATGCTAGTTTCATTTCGCTTCCCTGACACACACACCTTGGTGAGTGATGGATGAAAGTTGTGCACGATGAGCTCGGTGTTGTACTCGTCGTCTTCAACTCCGACATCCCAGCTACGTGTTCCGTCCATTTCGATCCTGCAAGCCACACCACGTTCAATATAAAGGGATACCTATGTAATGGAGCTGCCATTAGAATCGGTGGGAATAGCTCGGTCCATTCATGGCCCACACTAACAAATGGGAAGGCAATCGTTGATATCTAGGAATGAGTTTTTCTATAAATCCAGATTTTTGAAAATGCTTACTAGTCTTCACCAGCATGACAAACTTTTCACCGACTATGTAGCGGTGCAGATCAATAATCGCTCTCAATAACCACTCAGATCATGATCCGAGTGGATCTCACCATGTGCACAACATTTGAAACCAAAGTAGGTATCTACGCATGTCAATAAGTGCTACAAAACTATGAACTATGAGTTATGACATGCAATCACACTATCATATCCTTCCTACCACCTCCACCGATAGCGCCATCCATATGCCTATTCTCGTTCGTTATACCGAACCAGGCACCATGGCTGTTGCCCCAGACTGAAGCGTTTAAATGCACTTCATGTGTACTCGTTAAATAATAAACCGCCGGTGGACTCCGGTGAAAGGAAAAAAAAAACTACTAAAATAGAGCTTTGGAGTCACAGCAAGCGAGCCTTTAAGTGAGGATCTTTGATTTCACTGGATCTCAAGTAAAACAAAAACCGGATCTATGATCCCAAAGGTTCTAGTTATCAATAAGTAAAAGAGCTGAATCTATGATCCCGTCAGATCCGAGATCAGAATCCGTGGGATCAGATCCCAGATCCATTTTCTCGGATCCATGCACTAGGGTAGACCACTTTGAAAACAATTGTGGGATTCGTTAGGCCTGGTCAGAGTTCTTGCGAACACTATGGAGTATGGCACAAGGGTGTGTGCATTTTTTTTTCTATTGGATCAATTCATCCGTCCCACGGCGCAAAGCGAGCAAAGTTTTCCCTATGAAAACAATGGCGGGGTGCGCGACAATACAGATTCTCCAACTTATGTACTATGTAGTTCATATTTCTTTGCTCAATATGCGCCTGTAAACACTAGAATAAAAAACAACGGAGGAGAGAAGGGCGCCGACGTAGCCGAGAGTCGTCACTCTCCGACCACTCAGCCGGATCGACGTTGAGGAAATCGTGACCGGCACAGAGGGCGGTGCCTAGACCAACAGAGCTGGTCATCGCAAACGACGCCAGCGAGCGCTGCCCCACTGCGTCGAGGGCGACGTTGGCGCGGCAAAACAAGTTCTTCTCTTTCAGCCGCTGAGCACTCCATGCATGGGGTGACGATCGCCCGCTTCTCCTCGACCGTCGTCACCTCGTCGAAGAGGGAGAGTCCGATGAGCTCCTTGGAGGGATACCACAGGTGCCGGCCGCCGGGCCATCACCTTGCCCGATTGCCGTCCCAAATCCTTGTGATAGGCAGTGAGGGCTTTGAGAAGGGCGAGGTGAATTACCGATGCTAGGGTCGAACAGTGGGCGGACAGCCACGCTGCTACGCACGTTGTGACGAAGGTCGTTGACCGGCTTAGCGCCATCTTCTTGTGCTCGGTGAGCGCGAGCTGTTCACAGAAGAGTATGATCTTGACAGTGTGTATCAACTTTTGTCATTCAGCGAGTAAAGGGCAAGGCTCCTGGCTTTCGGATGTCAGTCTAAAGAACACCGTCCAACACAACGACAGTTCCATGAGTTCCATTTCATGAGACAGAACGAATGACACTCGTTCCATGAGTTGCCACCACTTCAACAAACCGCTTGAACAACAGGATATTAGGGCCGGAAGACAGGCCAAAGCAGACGTTGAGTGTCGCGTCCACCAGACCACTAGCTCAAGCATGTGGTGCCGGCATGCGAGGTGAAGCAGCTTCTCCTGTTATTTATTGTTCTTTTGACATTCAGCTAACACTGGAGTTTGAAAAAGAAAGCCTATGATTTCAAGAATGTCGAGGACAGCCCATTGAGCAAAGGTTGTAGCTTTAATGAAAAAAATAAAAGGTAATCTCCAATCCCAATGGCAACAATGTCAATGAAAACTACATTTCTGAAATCATCTCACTGCTTTGAGTGACATCTTCCACCTATTTCGAAGATGAAATGACTTTCCAACAAACCGTGCCAGGTGAAAAGAAATGCAAATCAAATGATGTCAGAATTCCAATTCTGCTCAAGTCAACATACATAGGAACCTAGCTAAATAGAATTGACTTCCATCCACCCTCATAACGATTGATAAAATGAGGGATATTGGTAAAAGGGAAGAGTTAAAGGGACTATCCCACCTTTAACATGGGGTTTGAGTTGAGATAGCCAAGATTGCGGCGAGGTTCAGAAACCACTAGGTACCTACCAATCTATCTAGGTTGCAACCCCCGCGGGCTCTTGGTGTTGAAGAAATTCGTTCCCTTCATTTGAAAATGGGCCTTGCGCAAGGCCCTATCTTCAACATGGAGCGACCATTAGTGTGACGTCACCTCGTTTAGCCATTCTGATTTAATTGGGTTTGTGCGTTGAAAATCGCTTAAAACTTGGTCTGAACTTTGTTGTGGTGGACGCCGGTGAAAACAGGGCGCCGGAGGGCATATTAGTCACGTGACATTTGGAACTTCTCCTGCTCCATGGGCCTTCTATATCCCAAACGTCACGTGTAAATTTAACGAACCTTGATCAAATCGCCCCAGGCGCCGTTTTCACCGTCGTCCGTTGTGGTGCCTACAGAGTAAAAAGAATCAGCTTTATGACAGTAATGTGGCCTGGGGAAGGAGGTAATTTTGGGCTGTGACTTCACATATTTGAAAGTTTGTGTTTGGAATATGGGAAGCCTAACATGTTTAATGAAAAATAAATGCCAGAACCGTGTTCCTGGTCATCCAATCTATAAAGTCGGGCACAATTTAACTGGTTTTAACAACATTTTAGAAGGTGGGATAGGTGGGATTTAGAAGGTGGGAACCTTCCCACTTGCCTTCCTGTAACAGATCACACAAAATACACAGAAATACTCACAATACTTTCAGAATACTGTGTTGGCGTACCACGTGAGCATATGCTATTTTACAAACATTGGACTTTCTTGTGATAAAAATGTAAAATCGGTTCTATTACGTCACCAAAGTTTATCTAAAATTTCCTCTAATATGTATTTTTTTTTACAAAACTAGATTTCATACAAAATTCAAAAGACTAGAAATACTCCAGTTACGCTGTAAAACAATAGAGTCATGATATGAAGCACCTAAATGGATCAGAGTGAAAATAAAGTAATGATAAAATCATTTTTTTATGACGAGATTTATCAGCTCATAATAAAGACATTTTGTAGCGCAGCAGGCATATTTACGTCTGGACAACGAGTTGCGTTGGAGAGGCCGGAAATAGTGGCGATTTCAGGACCGCAAGAATGGACCGTCATTGGAATGATTCTTTCTTAAACCGTGCACTGTTTTCGGCCGAAATTTAATAGTTACTACAAAATATTTTGTAATTACGTTTCCACCAAGAATGAATGACAGCAGGGCAAATTTTTTACTACTTTTGCATTTTGTCAAGAAGCATATAGTGCTGTTATATTGCAGTTTTAGCGTGTTTGTTACAAAATATGAAGCGAATAAGCGTCAGTGTAATTCTCATCAGTGCCAGAAGTTAACTTGGGGAAAGCTATGGTAATTGCGCTTGTCCATCCACTAGAAGTTATTAAATATTTTGCTTTGTGTATTCCAAAAGGAGAGGGAACTATTTTATTTGTGCCTTCATGTCAGAATTGAAGGTGGATCATAAAATTTTCAAGGCAGTTTACAAAGAAGCATTTGGTCTAAGCAGTGGCTAAGAAGAAAAGGTTGATCAATCCGGAAGTTCAGTCATTGTACCTTAACTTGGCAGCAAGATTCCCTAGGACAGAGGATATATTGTATACCTGTCCTGTAAATCAAAGCATTTTTGTGCCTGCAAAGGCTTAAGTTCTTTGTGGTGTGTTCGGAGACCGGAGTGAGGCTGGCCGTTTTTGTTGTATGTTTATGTGGAGATTGAATATAACTGTGACCCTGTGCTTGTTTGTATACTTACTATGGTCAAACAGGGAACAGCACATTCACATAACATACTCACCTAGCATTTAACTCATAGCTGTACCCTGCAAGTGCAGGATCTGTACTTGTTCATGTCCGAGCATTAACAAAGCACTAAAGTAGCTTAGTAATCATTTCCCACATTTTCTGAGCATCTAACATGACATACAGCAGTGCAGAGCAGCTTCAGAGAAGAAACACTTTAAATGCACAGACTCACACCAGCCACCCAATGAGCCAGTTCCTCAGTTGACTGTTTCCCTGGATGCAGCTTGGCAAGGTGAGCTAACTATTGGCAAGTAGAAGGTTAGCAAGTAAGATTGAGTTAGGGTGAGTACCTACCTATAACTGGGTGCTACTGCTATGCAGGTCTTGGGTAGGCTGCAAATATGTGTGATGATTGAGGTTAGGTCAGCTGTCAGGTTGTTCAGGTATGCTCATTGCTCAGGTCACATTTTTATGGACACTTGGCAAATTAAAAAACTAACAACCTAATATAAGCTAACCTGACTAAACCTACACAACTGCTGACTAAAGGAACTAAGCACCTACCTACTTGTGGCTACATCTCATAACATGTCAAATTAGAGTTCCCTGGTGGAAGATTATACCCAGTACTTTTTATCCCAGCCTTGTGAGGAAAACTAATACTTCTAAGCTCTGAGTCACTGCTGGCCATCCACAGGAAGAAATGCTGAAACTGAGAGCTTTGCCATTGTATATTGGACCAACAATCACTATCACGAATGACTATGAACACATTATATGATCACATTGTTGCATGGTTTGTCACATTGACAATTTTATAGCAATCCTTTTTTCAAGAAATACAGTAATGATTAACATCAAAATCAACATAAAGTGGATTTAGTGATCCAAGCTTTCTCCTCCAGTAGCAATGGAATGATCGCACGTTTCATTTGCCAGACACTGAGTACCTGATGCTGGTGATGCACATTACAATCTGCATAGCATCTAAGCATAGTAAAGCTGCCAAAGTCCATTCATTCTAGATTTTTAACTTGATAGTTAGCACTAATTTATCTTGCTGTTGTAAGTTATCATTCAATATTCATACCAATACATCAATATGCGCTCATCAGTCAACATTTTCTGGCATGATCCTGCTCAGCGCGCACTCCAGTATTGCTCAAAGATCTGCAATATTATAGCTTGTTTTCGGCCAATAAGCTCTTTTAATTTTACTTTTTCTTGCTGATATATGAGCCCGATCAACTTGCGTTTATCAACCAAAATTTCATAACTTCAAGTTCAACTTGAACTTGATATTGATAGGTATTGCTCAGGAGTCAGGACCTCTGTCAGCCTCCTGGATACTTCGGATTGTTTTCAGTCACATGCTTCTTTAATATGATATAAGTCATTCAAAACATCCAACAAAACGACGTACAAGAGTACGGAAACCACCAGATAAACTTTAAAAGCGTCTTGGATCAGAGCCAAGTGGTGCTCCATTTGTTTGTTTACAGTGATTGTAGTGCTGATGTATTTTTAGGACTCTGAAGGTCGGCTTATAAAAAATGAAACGTTTTTACAAAAGTTGTAAGGCAAGTAATATTTATCTGAAAGAACTAAAATATTCAAAAGCCAAACACTATGAAATACAGCATATTTACGTCTGGACAACGAGTTGCGGGGAAAAGTGCCGATTGTGTTGCAGTTTTAGGAGCCGGTGATTAGGCTGGATTTTTGGGTTACTTTTTCGTTCCGATTCATGTATTTCATAGTGTTTGGCTTTTGAATATTTTAGTTCTTTCAGATAAATATTACTTGCCTTACAACTTTTGTAAAAACGTTTCATTTTTTTATAAGCCGACGTTCAGAGTCCTAAAAATACATCAGCACTACAATCAATGTAAACAAACAAATGGAGCACCACTTGGCTCTGTTCCAAGGCCATTTTTTAGTTTATCTGGTGGTTTTCTTGCTCTTGTACGTCGTTTTGTTGGATGTTTTGAATCCCTTAAGATTGACTTATATCATATTTAAGAAGCATGTTGACTGAAAACAATCTGAAGTATCCAGGAGGCTGACAGAGGTCCTGACTACTGAGCAATATCAATATCAAGTTGAACAAATTATGAAATTTTGGTTGATAAACGCAAGTTGATCGGGCTCATATATCAGCAAGAAAAAGTAAAATTAAAAGAGCTTAGGTATTGTCCAAAAACAAGCTATAATATTGCAGACCTTGGAGCAATACTGAAGAGCACGCTGAGCAGGATCGTGCCAGAAAATGTTGACTGATGAGCGCATATTGATGTATTGGTATGAATATTGAATGATAACTTACAACAGCAAGATAAATTAGTGCTAACTGTCAAGTTAAAATCTAGAATGAATGGACTTGGGCAGTTTTACTATGCTTAAATGCTATGCAGATTGTAATGTGCATCAGGTACTCAGTGTCTGGCAAATGAAACAGGCGATCATTCCATTGCTACTGGAGGAGAAAGCTTGGATCACTAAATCCACTTTATGTTGATTTTGATGTTAATCATCATAACTGTATTTCTTGAAAAAAGGATTGTAGTAAAATTGTCAATGTGACAATCCATGCAACAATGTGATCATATTATGTGTTCATAGTCATTCGTGATAGTCATTATTGGTCCAATATACAATGACAAAGCTCTCAGTCTCAGCGTTTCTTCCTGTGGATGGCCAGCAGTGACTCAAAGCTTAGAAGTATTAGTTTTCTTCACAGGGCTGGGATAAACAGTACTGAGGGTAATCTTCCACCAAGGAACTCCACTTTGACATGGTATGAGATGTAGGCACAACAAGTAGGTAGGTGCTCAGTTCCTACTTCCTATAGTCAGTAGTTGTGTATGTTTACCTAAGATCAGATTGTTAGTTTTTTAATTTGCCAAATGTCCATAAAAATGTGACCTGAGCAATGAGCATACCTGAACCTGACTAACCTGACAGCTGACCTAACCTCAATCATCACACATATTTGCAGCCTACCCAAGACCTGCATGGCAGTGGCACCCAGTTATAGGTAGGTACTCACCCTAACTCAATCGTACCTGCTAACCTCCAACTTGCCAAAAGTAAGCTCACATTGCCACGCTGTGTCCAGGGAAACAGTCAACTGAGGAACTGGCTCATTGGGTGGCTGGTGTGAGACTGTGCATTTAAAGTGTTTCTTCTCTGAAGCTGCTCTGCACTGCTGTATGTCATGTTAGATGCTCAGAAAATGTGGGAAATGATTACTAAGCTACTTTAGTGCTTTGTTAATGCTCGAGACATGAACAAGTACAGATCCTGCAGGGTACAGCTATGAGTTAGGTGCTAACTGCTAGGTGAGTATGTTATGTGAATGTGCTGTTCCCTGTTTGACCGTAAGTATGCAAACAAGCACAGGGTCACAGTTATATTCAATCTCCACATAAACATACAACAAAAACGGCCATATAGCCTTACTCCGAACACACCACAGATAACTTAAGCCTTTGAAGGCACAAAAATGTTTTGATTAACAGGACAGGTTTACAATATATCCTCTGTCCTTGGGGGATCTTGCTGCCAAGTTGAGGTATGATGACTGAACTTCAGGATTGATCAACCTTTTCTTAGCCACTGCTTAGGTATATACGAGAAAGACCAAATGCTTGTTTGGTTTGATTTACAGGACATGTATACAATATATCCTCTGTCCTTGGGGGATCTTGCTGCCAAGTTGAGGTACGATGACTGAACTTCAGGATTGATCAACCTTTTCTTTGCCACTGCTTATAAACGAGAAAGACCAAATGCTTGTTTGTAAACTGCGTTGAAAATTTAATGATCCACCTTCAATTCTGACATGAAGGCACAAATGAAATAGTTCCCTCTTCCTTTGGAATACACAAAGCAAAATATTTAATAAATTTTAGTGGATGGACAAGAGCAATTAGTATAGCTTAGTAGCTGGCACTGTTGATGAATTACACTGACGCTTATTCGCTTCATATTTTGTAACAAACGCGCTAAAACTGCAATATAACAGCACTATATGCTTCTTGACAAAATGCAATAGTATTAAAAATTTAGCCCTGATGGCATTCATTCTTGGTGGAAACGTAATTACAAAATATTTTGTAGTAACTATTAAATTCCGGCCGAAAACAGTGCACGATTTAAAAAAGAATCATTCCAATGGCGGTCCATTCTTGCGGTCCTGAAATCGCCACTATTTCCGGCCTCTCCAACGCAACTCGTTGTCCAGACGTAAATATGCTGAAATACATGAATCAGAACGAAAAAGTAACCAAAAAATCCAGCCTAATCACCGGCTCCTAAAACTGCAACAAAATCAGCACTTTTCCCCGCAACTCGTTGTCCAGACGTAAATATGCGCGCAGCAGAGACTATTTTTTGTTCCGCTGTTTTTTCCATACGATTACTAAGGGTGACGTCTACGGTTTTGACAAATTTGATATTGATTTAGGAATTATAAAACTAATGTCTTGGCTTCTGTTCAAATGAAAAGCACTAATCCCTCTATATTTTATTTGCTTTTTGTAAATATATTGAATTTCAGCAGCTAAAAAGAAATAAAACGTTTGATGGAGAACGAATTTTAGGTGTTTTAATGACGTCATATTTTGGTTAAAAGTTGGTTAAAAGAGTAGTAGATAGTATAATTCATTAAACATAGAACTATTGTATTCGATTTTTTTAACATTTCTCTGCTGGGCTCAGAGTTCAGTGGCTGGGCTACACGACGATTACTCCCGAAGCCGCCTCAATCTATTACTCATAGCTGATAGATATATAGAATAATTTAAAATAAAGATTTTAACTGAGACATCAAGGTTCTCACAGAAACATACTTGCTGACCCCAGTGTCAAAAGAACGGGTAAGGAAGATGCAAACCTTCACAAAGAGTCTGAGTGAAATTTGTTTGGCAAATTTGCTCTGGGGACTGGGCCACTGGTTCAGGCTCGAGCCGGGGGAGGTAAATTCTAAATAGTGGGCATGTATTTTGAGATAGCAATGCAAATTTTGGCACTTCTCAATAAAATTATTTAAAATTATTGTAGGTCGTAAATCATTAGATTCTGTACCTAAGCTATACGTTTTAAAACTTGCATTGCTAATTTTTCTGGTAATTCAGGAACGATTACTGCTGCATGCCCTGCGGCCACCTCTCCAGAACAGACACCCCTTGACTCCTTAGTCCTTCAGCCACCATGTTTGCTTGCCTGAACCTTTCATTCATTTATTCGTTTATTGGGTGAACAGTAAGAACGGAGCCTGGGGCGATTTGGTCAAAGCTTGTGAAATTTGCTTGCATAAAGCATAGGTATGACAATTAGCCTGTTGAAGGCAGGCTAATTAGAAGGGGGCTCTTTAGAAGCAGTGTTTCATTTTTCAGCCTTTTTGGTGGCAAATCACACCTAATGGGGAAAATATTTTTCATCCCTAAAATATGAATGACCAACTTTACTTCATCTCTGAAAAGAGTTTCATGTATTCCCAACAACCAGTTCACTTGTCACTTGACAGTTGATGCACCCACATCCTTTTGTTCCACACCCTGTCAAGATCCTGACATGAAATCCTGGTTTATCAGTTAGCATAAAAATTGGCATTACACCATTTTACAAAAATACTGCAGTTATTTTCTTTCTTTTCATCCTAGGATTTTTTCTTCATCGGCACACCCAACCAATATCCAATTTTAGAACACTGTTTAGAAGTCACGGGACTGAATATGCCCTCAGGTGCCCCGTTTTCATTGTCCACTGTTAAAGGGACCCTCCCACCTTCAAAAAAGTTAATGAATTGGCATGAAAGTGATGTCGCTCGGTTCAGAAAGAGCAAAAACGAATATCTACCAAATTTCATCGAAAAATATTCACCGGTTTTCAAGATATTAGACTTTTAGTTTTGTTTACTTTTTGGGATCTCCGCTGTTCCTAGCGACTTTATCTGAAAGTGCGGCATTTGTTGCGCGCAAAGCAGCATATACCACCGCGTGCTACAAAACGTTTTAGTCAAATATTTAACGGACGTTCGGAAGCCTGATGACGTCATCAGATTCCCGTAATGGTTAAGAGATAGGGACCACGCTGGTCCCACCCTGCAAGTAAAGGGAAGAAATTTCTTGAACACCATAAAGCTGCGGGGGTTGCGACCAGGATAAATGGTGGTTTCTGAGCCTGGCCGCAAACTTGGCTATCTCAACTCAAAACTAATGTTAAGGTGGGAGGGTCCCTTTAACCCGCGAGTTGCTGGGGGGGGGGGGGGCGTTAAACGCCCCCACTTTTTTCGCCGGGCCATAGCATAAAAACGGCGCGCCGCAGGCGCGCCAAATTTTGGGTACCTGTAGGGAATTGATTGAAGTCTATTGTGACAAAATTTCAAAAAAATCAGTCGGAAAAATTTTGAGATATCGAGGTTTTAGTGACGTCATGATTTCTGAGTTTTCGACCAAAAACGGCATATGTTCAAAAAATTATACAAAATCACAGAATAGACATACAGACATGCCGTAAACGGCATTAGACTGCCAATACCATGAACAATCAAATGGCTATCTTCGATTATTGATTATCGTTTCGCATTTGCCAAAATCTTGATCTGAATCTTGGCAATTTCTCGTGACTACTTCACGACCATAATAATTAGACGCGTTTACATAGGGTTTGTTGCAAGCTTATATCTCCGTCCGTGATGTTGCAAAAGATGCCAATGGTGCTGAACAATTTACAAAATGATCCCCTCTAAATATTTGAAGACCACTGTATCGAAATTATCGCCAAATTAACGAGCTAGAGCCTCGTCAAATATGCTATGTAAACCGGGTTATTGATACATACATTTCTTAAATTGAACTTTTTGAGCCAAACACGTACACATATGATAATATGAATGTTACCATCGTGTTCTACGCCCCAAATTACCCATGAAACGGGGACTAATACTTTGGCAGACCAAAACCGGGGTTTCTACACCAAATCTGTGATTGCTGTCTCACCAAATATCGGTATGTCTTGCACCAAATAAATTACAGGTTATTTGAACCAAAACCGGAATTTCTGCACCAATCTAGTCTTTTCTACTAAATTCTGGAAGGTTGCCAGGTATTTACGTTTGTGTGTGGATATCTGTGTAAGGGCAAAATTGAGCGCGTCAGAGAGTGTGTGGAGCGGCGGGCCGGAGAACCAGAGTGCGCGTTAGGCCAGTCCGCCGTATGTTTGCCTCCGGCGGGAAAGGCGTGCCCGCCGGGTGAAAGGCAGCGGCTGGCCGGCACCTGGGACTCGCGGGCCCGTCTCTCGAGGCATTTGCCAGTGCGGTGTCGTCGGGGCAACATCTTTCGGTAAGCGAACTTTTCCCTCCCCCCTAAATTAATGCCGCAGCGCCCAGGCGCTGCGGAAGTCCCCGACAAATGTCCTGGATTTCATTTGGCTTTCCGACCCGCCGCAAATAGCGGTGGGCGTTCCCGTTTTATATCCAGGACAGTCCCATCTAAATTATAATAATTCGGCGCGGCGCGTGGCGTATATGAGTGAGCGATTGTAAGTGTGATGTATATAGTGTGCGTGAGGAAAATGATCCGAGAGAATGACACTTCGTCCCGCGAGACCAAAATACAATGTAATGGGAATGTGAGCCAAATCTTTGAATTGGGTAAAGGCAGATGCCGGGCTGATACACGGTGGACGTGAACGAACAATCATACGGGCCGCTTAGTTTAATACACCCGGGTGGCAGGCGGGCATTGTAGAGTAACTTTGATTAACGTAAAGTCTGTACATGGGGGGAACCAATAAAAGGTTGCAGGTTCCGATGCGAGAAACCCCTACATAAAAATGGTGCACCGCGGCCGGGAAATCTTTCCCATCGGAGGTCCGGACGCCCGAAGTGCACCTCCCGCCGCAATCTGTGATACTCGATGGTAATAATTCCGCTCCCGACATTGGTGTACATCGGCGCCCGGGTGGTAATTGCCGCCTCCGGGCCTTCGTTGCCGGTGTTCAGCACAACGGAGGGCCTGGCTCCCCGGGGGAACCCGCCGCATCCCTCCTCCTTTGTCGTAGTGTAGGTCGATGGGAGGTCTGGACAATACCCGGTATTGCAGAGGCGCGGGGTCAAAGGGCAACGAGGTGGGCGGCTATTTCCGCTCCCTTGGAGGTGGTTACCGGTCGTGCTGTTCTTACTTTTGGCTTCAATATCTTGTGTAAATCATTGTTTCCGTACTTTTCGTCACGTTCACACGCGTGAATCAGCCCAATTAAAGGGGGGCATGGGGGGACAATTTGCTATACCGCACAGTATCTGAGGAAGATACGCACTCCGCAGGCGCAGGAGCGATAACGTCGGCGATTACGGCGATAACACAGCGATAAGGTCGGCGGTGCGGAAGAGTTCGCTCGGGCGGAATGGAGTCCGCTTGTACGCGAGATGAGTGCTCGCGTCGCCGTCGGTCGCGCGCGAGCGTGCAGGTTCGCCCGGTCGGCGGAATCATAGAGTCCGGTGACGAGCCGTCACCGCTGGGAGTGATGGCGACGAGAAGGTCGTCACCGGTGAGTACCGAGGGCCGCGAAATACCCCGGTATTTCAGTGTTACATGTGTGGGCGTATGATTGGATCGTTTGGTGTACAGGTATGTTACGGTTGGTGTGATTGAGTTAGTGCGAACAAGGTCATGTGTGGTCACGAAAAGATGCGGAAAATTGAATTTTACTTATTTGTCATCAATTTGCTTTCATGATTAGTACCTAATCAATTTGCTTTCATTCATACACCTGATTTAAATAGGTAGCAAATTGCTTGTGTCGTCTGCCATTCACGCCTCATAATGAGACCATAGAGGCTTTAGACATTTCCTGCGATTGCCTGAACAATCGTTTAGACCATAGTGCATTAAGTATATCTGTAGTCTTAAGTGCGGTGCATCTTTGCTGTGCATATTAATTGTATCTTAAGATATTAACTGGAATGCCCATGGTTTTTTACGGGATATATAGGCATAATCGGTGCAGTGGATCGGGGAAATTACGGTTGGGTGTTTTTAGGCGGAGTTTTTAAGCGGGGGTGACGATCCATCCCGTAAAGCCGTGCACCTATAGTGCACCTTGTGGCGCTGACGAGTTGCCAGTAGGACGACATCTAGGTTGTGCGTAGCTTAACGCGGGCAAGCTTAGCTCGGCCGCAAAGCCCTAATCAATTATTATCTTCACCTCGCGCCGAAAGGAGCCTTGCATTCAGGCAGCAACCTTTGAGATCTTCCATGCAAGTTGTCACTTGCAAATTGCCGGGAAACTGTCATAAGTGTGGTCCGAAGGTTTTGCTCATAGCTGATGACCCTGGAACCGTTTCAATGGATTCGTGTGATCCCCATTCATCAGCTAACTTTATATGGTACGCAAAGGCAGTGCAAGAATGAATATAAAATCAAGACGTCTGCAGGTCCAAGAGCACGGCTCATCCCAAAATTCCCCTTTTCAGGAGGTTAGTGGGCCGAGTGGTGTACGTTACGGAATGAGTCGCATTTAATCGAAAAATCCGTCGAGCTTCGTCAATGTTTCCGTCTTATATATTCAGGGGAGTGATTAAATCTTACGGTTCATTGCAGTTTATTTTGACGCAAAAAGTACCTAAAACGTCTCGTCAAATCTTCAATATTATGTTCAAAGTAGTTAATTCCCTCGTTTAATCCATGCATTTTCGCGTTGTCATTTCCTTGCTTAAAACGTGGTAGCAATAACTCAACTAAATTCAGTCACGGGCCAGAAACAAGTTCTAAACAGCTTTGATTCCAGGTTTAATGGCAACACTTATTAAAGCAGAAATTCTTGAATGGAGCGCTGAGTGCTCATTTTAATGGGCCCGCATTTAAACACCGATGCA